AATTACTGGAGAAAACACGGGAGACTAGAACTGGCTTATTGAACCGCATCAGCCAGCCATACTCAGGCCCAGCTTTCTTCGTACGCGTGAGGCTCAAACTATGGAGTGCGGCCCGTAGCGCGATCGATGGATGACCTAATACCATTTTTAATATACCCGATCGCGACTTAAAGGATAAGGAAGTTGCAACGCAATGGTTAGAACAGTAGGTCCTTAACTAACAGGTTACTAGTTCGAGCCTTGCACGTCGAAAACCAGGGGTTGGCTATTGCTCGCTGATGACGGCTACAAGGTCACAAAAGGCTATTCAAGTCTCCCTAGTCTTTTTCGGTACTGTCAGTCAGCCAAAAAACCCCACAGTGGTAAACACAAACGCTTATCGGTTTCAAAATTAACAGTAGGGCCCAAAATTCGTGCAAAATGCCGACATATACGAAATTTTGATACGTTCTTGCTAATCGGGATTGATTAAGGTTGTAATACTGATTACCATGCAGGCTATTCTCAAGTCATACCAGTCACGATACGAGGCCGGCTTTTTAACGAGCTTCCTTCTGACCGCTGACAAAACACATGTACTATAAAAGGTGGCAACTTAAAGAATATGCATTTTCATCATTAATCTTGACTGCCTCTATAAATTCAAGCATATTGAATGGAAAAAATACACCAACAAATTATTTCTTGTATTTTTTGGGTAGAAAATTACGGCTTCTTTAAATTTTATACTTAAAGGAAGGGTATCTTTCGGTTTTAAAAAAGTTCTAAATTATGAACTTTTTTACGATTGTGAGTTGTTCATTCAGTATACATCACATCCGTCAATTTATTAATGCCTATATTGTATACAGCATGATCGACATCTATTGGAAACTTTTATGAGAATAATGTAACTTCATCCTCAAACCGTAGGCGAAAACGTACTTTCCCTTAAACAGAATGTACAGAGCGCCCAATCTTCAAACCTTCAATTCACTTGTAGCAGTCAGTAGGTTTAAAAATTAATCGGCAATTTAGAAACTTTTTAAAAAACCAAAAGGTGCCCTTTCTTTAACTATAAAGTTTAAAGGTGTAATTTCCTACCAAACGAATACAAGGAACATATTTTCGTTAATGCTTTCCATAAAACACATTTGAATTTATAAAGGTAGTCAAAATCAATGATAAAATGCATACAACTTAAGTTACCACGATCTACAGTAGGTACGTTTTTTAGCGGTCAGGAAGAAGCTCGTTAAAAAGTTGCCATCCTATTGTGAATGAAATGGCTTCAGAATAGAGTACAAGATAACCAGTATTACAACCTTACTCAATACCGATTAGCTAAAGCGTATAAATCTTTCGCATTTGTCGGCATGTTTCACGAATTCTTGGCCGTACTATAGGTCCACAAATAGACATCTTAATTAGGAAGTGCTCACCCGTTCATCTAAAAATCGGTCAGAGATGTCAGAGAGGTCTGCCCTCGTTTTCACAATCTCTGCTTGCGCCTCCATTAGATCGTGAGCTGACTTCTCTGCCGCCTTCATCAACTCCTCCCGTTCTGCCCTCGAGGACTCCACCTCCATATGGAACAGCCGAAGGGACTCGTTAGCACCCGCGAGCTCCTCCTTGCAGGTGGCCAGCCGTTCCTCCAGCGAACTGATGCACTTCTTACAGCGCTCCGTCTCTCGCGCGTTCCGCTCCGTGTCGCGCCGTGCCTCGCGCAGCTCAGACAGCAGACTCTCCTTCTTGTCCATCAGCTCCTGTTTAATAGCCACTGCCTGGTTGAGGTCTGCCTCCAGAGTGTTGGTATTTTCTGTCAGACTGGCCTTGGTACGCTCTAATCGCTGCTTCTCCTGCATCATCGCATCCAGGGACTTGCGCAGTTCATCAGCCTCACGCAGATGTTTATCCTTCTCCTGGTTCAGCTGGTTGTAGTCTTCGCGCAGTTTAAGGATGTCGTTCTGCAGGGTCTGCCTTTCTGATTCATGGTCGGCGGTCTGTTTCTCCTTCTCCTCCAGCTTGGAGTTCGCGGATTGTAGCTTGGCGGAGGTTTCCGCAATCTGTATGAAAATGGGGAAAAAACAAGTCATACAATAAAGTAAAAATTTCAACTCAATACAAAAATCAAAAGGTTGGCTTCGAGCACAGAAATACCAGGATGACAGACTAGGTCATCCGCTTCTACTACTCTTTTCTACTGATGTCTCCGATGATAAATCCGCGACGGATGTGGAAACCTCAAGCCAATAAAAGTGTTGTCCCAGCGATCGAAACTTCTTCTTCTTTTCCTAAGAATACATCTATCATGAGGCAGATCTGATAATCTTCAAAAGCGCATGCGAGAATCCAGCAAACTTTCCAATGAGGAAATCTCGCAAGTCTCTAAGCGGGCGTCCGTAAAACCTCTTCTGTAAGCAACCTGCACTTCAAACTTGAAGACCATGTAAATTGAGATGCAAACCCACGCGTTACCTATCAATTGCAGTACAGCCGATTGAAGAAAGTGCCTGCCAGTGTTCCTTGCTTTAATTCCAAACCATCTACCGAACATGAAGAAGCCGGCACAAACAAATCATATTTTTTGATCTCTCCGTATGGAAATGAACTTCAAACCAATTTACTAGCAACAGAATCACGGAGTTTTATTCCAGAGTACCCAGCTGACACTATTCAGATTCATCGGAATTGCTTATATGTGCACCTCCCGATAGGACACTGGAATAGGAAGGTCTCCACCCGCATGTTATCCAGGTTGCCTTACGACAAACTGCAGGAAGTAAAATATGTAGTGGCCCCTAGGTGCCACTTCGAACCCAACATCAGTCGCTGGCGCATGGCGCCTTTGGCCTGCAAGGCCCGAACGCCCACACCAATCTTCGCCCATCTCAAGGTCGTGCCACAACCGCTAGTCCAGGCATTAGCCGCGTGATTGACTGCATAGCAAAGGATGCGCCGGCGATTCTCGACGCTCTCGTCACTTAGGACACGGCTGGCTTCCTGGCTGGTCGTGGGCTCCGAAATCAAACTTCTTCCTGCTTATTCTCCGTTCCTCTTTATACAGAATAAACTGTTTCTACTATTCCAGCGTCCACCGACTTCTCCTCTACTAAGGCACCTTGGTCTGAAGATCGCAGTTGCTAGGGTTTAACTCACTTAATCCCCTGCGATAAATATTCCCACGTTCTAGTCTTAACATTAACCTTAACCCAAAACATGATCGTACTATTAACTCTAACCCTAACCTTATGTCTATTCTTGACCTTACTTCAACCTTAATTCTTACTTACCTGGAAGTAAGCGCGAAGCCACCCCTAGTACGAGTGGCTTTTACAAAGTAGAGGACACATAAGTATTCTCTACCTTCACAAGTTACCCATCGTATCCAAGAAAACTGTAAACGTCGTCATGTGATGCCGACGGATGGACTGTGAACTTTCTCCGTCTAGCGGAGAGTCTTAGTTCTGCACGTAGTCCTTGCCCGGAGAGGTGTCCTGTAGACTCCTGTGGGAATTCAAGTTCATAGTGTTTTGTTTTACGACTAATATGGCCTCTGTGCCTGAATGGCTAACGCGAAACCCAGAGCTCTGAGGCCATCCGGGCAGTGGTCCTCGGCCCCGTTCCCAAATTTGTAACGTAGCTGGATGCATCAACTGAAGATAAAGGCCTTTGTTATAACGGTGACATCTGTGCCGTGTCACCGTCTAATTACGCCCTGTTTAAGTCCCCAACGAGTTACACAATAAGAAGGGCGTAAAAGTGAAAGCAACCCGGACGAGAGTTTATTGTGTACAAAACCCAGATTTTCTGTCTCGGTGGCTGTTGCGCCGCTGACGTAAATCTAGTGCGCTGGATTTCCCCGCCTCTAAGCGCACCCCG